AAGACACAAAGAACAGCCAATGTACACTAGTATTCCGGATCTTTCCAACCACTTCTAGAGCTATGGGCTCAGTCAGTACATGATCGGTTTTCCAAAGTGTCACAAAAATGGTTTTACCAAATGCTTTTCCGAGGTACCACAAGGGCCTCTGACTTCCCGGCCTGCAGTCTCCACCCTCCCTCCCTCTAGGGGTTCTGTTGGGACGGTCCCCCACTGCCAGCGCTAATTTTTGTTTGTTTCGGGTAAGGTAAGGCTGCTATAATAAAGAGACGCAACGATGATTGAGTGGCTCAAAGAAGATAGAAGCGTGTTTCTCTCACGTGTAATAGTCCACGGGGATCATTCCAGACTGGGAGGCTCCTTGGTTCCACATGGTCATTCAGGGGCCGGGGGTCCTTCCATCTTGTTTCTCTGCCACCCCCTAGGCCATTGGCCTCGTTGGCTTGATCACCACCGGGTTGCGGGCACATCATGTTCCCACTTGTGGGAAGGGGAAAGAGAACATGGGGGTGGGGGGAGGGCACCTTAAGGCTGAGGCCTGGGAGAGCACACTTCTATACAGACCTAAGTACAAGAGCGTCCGCGACACAGAGTCTGGCTGCGTGCCCTGGAGGAAGGGGAAAATCAATGCTGGTGGACAATTAGCAGTCTCCACCGAGGGCCTGGCATCTGAAAGGGCAGGTGGTCATCATGAGTCCTATGGCCTTGAGCACCAGCGGAGGACGACCTTCCTGTGGGAGCCTCGTGCTCCCGCCCCACATATACACCCAGGCTATAACCTGCTTAGTCCCCAGCCAGGACGCAGGGCCAGCAGACCATCATGGCACATACTTGTCTGGTAGACTTCGCCACACCCCCAGAGTCCCCTCTAAAATGATGCCCGCCATCCTCCCCTGTGCCAGTGGGGGCCTGAGGCTGATGCATGGTGGCACTGGAAACCAGCTGGCACATGGATGGGTGTGCTGGCCTGGGTTCTCCAAGAAGCAGACGCCAAGACGGGATTAAGGGTTCAAGGGCTTCCTTGGGAGATAAGCCTGTGTGAAATGAAATCGGGAGGGAGCCAGCAGGCTGCGATGATGTGAGGGTGACCCAGCGAGCAGGAGAGAGGGAGGGAGGGTGTCGAGGATGGCCCTGCAGTCTAAGAAGGCTTCAGCAGAGCCGTCGGGAAGGCCTTGAGCCAAAGTCCACCAACACAGAAACCTCGCGTCTCCCAGGGACGGTTCTGCACTGTCTCCCAGCCACGCACACAGTCTGGGGGGCACGGGCTGGATGTGAAGCCACAGCTGGTCTGCTCAGGTCAGTTATACCCCGCAACCCGACGTCTGCAACGCCCTTCTCACGGCCGGCACGGGGCTTACGGTGAGAAGTTGGGGTTCACATTCTAGAAAGAGCACAGGCTTCGGAATTTAAAAAGAATACTAAATTGCAACCCAGCTCACCACTGACGAGCTGTGTGGCACTCAGCACAAAACTCCAGCCCGTGATCCTCAGTGTTCTCATCTGTAAAATGGCTGGGAAGCGTTATCGGGATGAAAGCAGAGGACCCACGGGAGGTGCTCGCTAAGGGGTGGCCCTTATCCCCTCCCCACTTTGCCGGAGCCCAGGGACCTAGGGGCTGCCCCACATGTGCCCCCTGAAGAGGACTCCCAAGTCCACGGCAGATTCCGATTCCCTGGGATCACAGACAGACTTCCCTCTCAGCGCCACACCAAGGAGCCCAGAATCGGCCCTCTGTAGCGGGCGGTGAGGCCAAGCTGGCTTTCCAGAAACACCCTGACAAAAGTCTCCGCCAGGGCCAAAGAGAAGTATTTAGAGGAGGCTGCCGGCCAGGGCTGGGACGGCCACTTGTCACCTCCTCCAGGCTCCAGCTTGTTTGAAAACTCGTCACCCAGGCTGGGACTGTGGGCTCCGTCCCAGGCGGGGAAGGGAAGGACGGAGGCGTCTGCTTGGACAGCCTGTGAGTCCAGACGGCTGTAAATCCAGCCGGCTGGGCAGGCTTCCACCCACCCCAGGCACATGCCAGCGCCGCTGCTGGAGAGGCGCTCTCCCCGTTTTCTCTCTCCTCCAGTGCCCTTCCCCAGAGCACTTTCTATCTGGCCTCCCCTCCCTCCTTCTCTGTGGGCCCCTTCCTCTCTCTCTCCCCAAGCGTGGCCCTAATTCTTCTCGGTCTCTTGACATTTTCTGGCTCCTCACTCAGCATCTCTCTCTGTATCTCCCCAGCTCGCTGAGCCTGAGTTTCCCTGTCTCCCCGAGGGCCTCATTCCTCTCCATCTTTCTGGTTCTCATGCTCTTTTGCTCCCCTAGTGCAGCCTCTCCCACCGTTTGGCCACCCAGCCCAGCCCATCCCAGCCCATCCCAGCCCAGCCGCCTCCTTGGAGCTGTGCGCTGTCTTGGAATGCCTTCAAATCACAGGGAGGAGCTGAGCCCCAGAAGTTCCATACGACCTCAGAGGAGCCCTCCTGTCTCCCCTCCTTCCTCTGTGCAGGACAGAGATGTTCAGGGCCAGAGTCCCACCCCCCCACCCCGCCACCCCCCCACCCCCCCCCAGGCCCCGCCTCCTCCTCTAACACTGCCGCATCCCGACCTCCCCCTCCCTCCCCAGCCCCTCCCGGAGTCACTGCCTCTTCCAAACTCCTTTCTGTATCCATCCTCAGAACTAACAGCCAGCTATAGGCAACACTAAGAAACTGGGGCAAACAGGACATCACTTTTATATCGAAGAGTGGAGAGTTAGCTTAATTAAATGCAGAGTATCTATTCAATAGAATTTTATAAAAATCACGACGTAGCTCCAAACATACTGATATTTAATACAAATCCAAGTAAGTAAAAAAGCGGCTTAAAAATAGTATTTAGAACATAAACCCATTTTGTAAAAGAAAATAAATAGGCACATACAGGCATACCTCTCAAAATGGTGACGTATTTATCTTGGGGGGTGGGAGTATGAGTGGCTTGTTTTGTATTACAGAGAACGAATACTTCTTGGGAAATAAAACATTAGAATAATTTTTAAACAATCCAGGAGGTAGGCAAGATGGGCCTCAGTCTTCCTCACTGCCCTGTCCTCGTTTTAACCCAGCAAACATTTCCGAAGCTCCTGCTCCCGGCTGCGCCCAGCCAGAGACTGAGCAGGGAATGGAGCGATGGGATGAGGTCCCCACAACAACCCGGCTACTGGCCGTGGTGACCCCAGGAGCCCCTGCAGGTGGGCCCGCAGCTGGGGAAGGGGCTGGAGGTGGGCAGAAGCAAGAGGCTCTCCTGCAGGAAGAGGGGTCCTGGCACCTGGGGCCGGGAGGGGAGACGCCTAGCCAGGGTCTCAGGCAGAAAGGTGTCAAACCCACCAGGAAGGCTTGGGGCGTCCAAGAGCTACTGTTAAAGATGTAAGATAAGATGGGGGAGGGGAGGGGGGTGAGGGAAGAGAAAGCCGGCGGAGGATGCCCGCTTCAGCCACTCTGCTCCCGCCCAGAGGAGCTCACAGCAGCGTAGCCACGGCAGCTGCAGAGGCTGGAATCAAAGCACGGATTTGTGCTGCCTCACCGGGCCGAAGCTTTGCAGTTCAGCGCCGTCTGCCACGCGCCCCCACCGCAACGGAACTGTGGCTAGGGGCGGAAACGGCCAGTGTGTTCCCAGGGGCTAGACCAGCGCCAAAGACCCCAACCCCCAGGCCCTGGGCCTGGCCTCCTCTCTCTCGAGCCAGTGGGGAGACATGCCTTCAGGCCTTCAGGGTTCGATTTTTGTTTCTTTGTTTCATTTCCTCTGCTCTGCTGTTTCCTTTAGAGCCCAGGGCTACAGGAGGTGCGGAGTGATGAGTAAAGGGCGGTTCAGATCCTCGGCCGGGCCTGGCCGGGCGGAGTTTCAGTCCCCCGCCACCAGAGGGCACCCGAGCGCAGAAACGTGGCCACCTGGAGCGACAGGGAAGAAAGGCGCCCGAGCTCTCCGCGTCCCTCTGAACTGCTCAGCGGAAAGCCTGGCCGTGGTGGGTCTACTCGGGAGTAATCCTGGAGGGGTGGGCTGGGCGGGGGCCCCAAGGACGGGGACCTGCCCTCCTCACCCGATTGTTGTTTCTTACCCCCATCGCCTCCTGCTGCCAGGTGACGGGGTTACACCGCTAACCTGGAGGGTTACGGGTGTAGACAGAGATGCGGGCAGCTGCTGGAAAGCAGACTCGTGTGATGCAAGGAGCGCCAGACGGGAGTCAGGAGAGCTGGCCGCGCAGCCACGACTCTTCGTGTGACCTTTCCTTCTCTGCTAAGTTTGTTTTCTCGTCTGTAAACAAAGGGCGGGGACTCGGTGGTACCCAAGCGCTGCGACCGAAGCCATGCCCCACCCTCCTTGCGGAACCCTGAAGAGGGCAAAGAGGGCTGGAGAAGGAGACCGAAGAATGGAAACAGCCGCTGGTTGCTGCCGCAGCGCAGGGGCGCGGACACTACGCTGAGTCAGCGCGGGGGGCGCGGGGCCCTCACTTGCGCGCGACAGTGAGTGCGCACCCACACTGTCGCCCAGCCTGGGAGGGCTCCCAGCCCTCCCTCGGGTCCCACCACCCAAATATCCCCTCCTGGGTCTCCCACTGCTGGCTTGGGCCTCTCCTCATCCCCTGCCCAGGAAGGGCGCGGAGGCAGCCGGGTCTTCCGCGGTGGGTGCGGGACGATGGTCCCTGACCCCGGTCTCCCTGAGAGGTCAGTTGAACCAAGGAAGGCGCTCTCTGTCCTCCCAGCGCCGACCTTCGCCTGCCGGCTGCTTCACTCCATCCCGGACGCCGGCGATGGGGAACAGAGCAGGGAGGCAGGAGCGCTCTGGGCCGGGTGTGGATCCACTTGGGGAGGCGAGTAATGGATCTGCGCACCAGGGGCGCGACCTCGTTCCTGTGACCGAAGCTTGTGGAGTTACCTCCACTCGGGGATCCCCGGCCCCCCGTTCCAACCGCATCCTTCCCCCACCTCCCCCCAGTCTTGGGAAACTGGGTACCGAAGGTTCAAGAAGTCAAGAGCCTGGAGAAATGCACTGTGCAAATATATTGACTTTATTTGTCTCCGTTCCGGAGCCTCACAGACATATCCAAGTAAAAAGATCATTAAATAAAGGCCGTCAGCCATCGCAATGCAAAAATAAATATCAACCCTCCGGCGCAGCGGCAGCCGCGCCGCGCCCCGAGTCCATCAGCCGCGCCTAACGATTCGAAAAGTGTTCAGCGAGAGTGTGTTGGCGTGAGTGAGAACGGGTGTGCGCTGGGGGGCACGGTGGAGCGGTGTGCAAAATCGGAGTTGCAAACCATCGGACAAGGGCGGGCGTGGAGGGGCTCTCCAGGAAGCCCTGGCGACCCCGGGCCGCCTGGGCGCGGGCGGGCCTCCCCGCACACGCTCGCAGCAGAGTTCGTACTGGGCAGAGTTAAAAAATAAACCTTTACAAGGGCGAAGAAAGCGGCCCCTCCCCGGCGCCCCGTGCGCGCGCTCCCGCCGGCCCAGGGCAAGCGCGGCGCGGGGCGCACCGAGCAGTTCGCCGGCGGGCGAGAGTCCAAGCGCGCGAGGGGCGGCGGGCCCCGGTCCTCGGGGCTCCCCGGAGTGCGGGCCATCCCGGGGTTCGCGCGCTGCTCCCCGGGCGGGCCGCGAGTGCCCGCTGCGGGCGGCGCCCCTCACAGGGCCGAGTCGGAGTCGCTGGAGTCCAGGCTGTTCCTCAGTTTGCAGCTGCTGAGCTGCTCCCTCTGCAGCGACAGGCTCTGCGTGCTGCGGCGCAGGCACTCCAGGCTCTGCAGGAACGACTTCTTGGCCTTCTCCTCCTCCATCGGGGACACCCCCTCCTCCTCCACCTCCTGGATCTCGTCGAAGGTCACCGGCTGCGTCTTGAAGCGGGACTGGCGCGGCCGCCGCAGCCGGCCCTTGCCCTTGGACAGCTTGGCGGGCCGCACGGGCTGCGGGAACTCGTCGGCCAGGCACACGAAGTGCGGCATCACCGCTTGGTAGCTGGAGCAGATGCCCATCAGCTCGCCGGGCTTGGCGGCCGCCATGGCGCTGCCGGCGGCTTCGGGGCCGGGCGGCGGGGTGCCGGGGCTCTCCGGGGGCGGCCGCTGCGCCGGGGCCCCCCGGGAGGCAGCAGCCTGGGGCTCGCCGGGCGGGGGATCCAAATCTGCTGCGGGGTGGCGGCGGCCCTCGCGGGCCCGGGTCGGCGCTCCTCGGGAGGGCGGGCGGGGGGGCCCGTCGGGGGGCGCGGGGACGGGGGGCGCTGCTCCGCTGCGCTCCGAGGCGCTCGCCGCCGCCGCCGCTATCGCCGTCTGCTCGCGGCGGCCCGGCCCGCCGCTTATATAGCCCGCTGCTGCCCACACGCCTGCGAGCTCGGATGACAGCGAATGCCATTTAAAGCGTGCGCGCCCCGCGCCCTTCCGCCTGACGTCGCCCCGCCGCTCTGGGAAAGTGACAGCCCTTTCCCAGCGCCGCCCGCCCGCCCGGCTCCGGAAGGCAGGCCCCGCCCGCGGGGGTTCCGGGAGCATCCGAGGCCCCGGAGCGCGCGGCGCGGCAGGGGCGGCCGGGGAGCAGGGCTCTCACTGTCCGTCCTGGGATCCCCAGGTTCGTACCCACCGCGGTGGCCGCGGGGCGCAGGGCCCCCTCCCCGCCGCCTCATCACACTCGGGGCGCTGGTTCTTCCGCCGCGGGGTCTGCTCGGGGGCGCGTGTTGGCGGCAGCTCCCGGCCCTCAGAACCCCGAACCCAGGTCTGAGTTCCCAGGAAGGGCTCGGTTTCTTCTTTGAATCCTTGCTGCCCCCTGTCCCCTCCTCCCCCCGATACAGAAACACACACACGCGCGCCCATAGAGGCACGGAGGAATGCAGACCACACCGATTACTCCATCCCAGTTCCTCCCTCCCCTCGACGTCCTCTCTCTGTCTCCTCACCTCCCCACCCCCCACCCTGCCAAGTCCCTCGGGCACCTCTAAGCACGCTCAGAAGATTGACACTTGAATATGGCACTAACAACAACAACAATAATAATAACTACCATCTGGAGAGCTTTACTCCGTCTCGTACGCCTTAACTACCTGATCTTCACAGCAGCCGGTGAGGTCGTGGTCTTCTCCCAGGGTACATACGAGGAAACGGAGGCACAGAGAGGGTACCACCGGGTCCACTAGGGACTGCTGGAGCCAGGCGGGGTGGGAGGCGGAGTCCCTGTCGTTAGAGCCCCCGCTAAGGGCTGAGACCCTCCCGGGCCCCCGGCTTCTGAAAGCAGGGCCCCTGGTGCCTAACTCCCAGGAGGGAACGGCGAGCACCTGACCAGGTGGCCTGAGGAGGCAGAGCAGCACGCACACGCACACACACGCACACGCACACCCTGGGGCGCCCGGCAAGGCTCACAGGGCCACTGGGAAGGAGCGAATCTGGGGAGCCCATTCCTTGCACAGCCAGTCAACAAGGGTTTCTTGAGAACCTACTGTGCAGCGCCACGGGAAAGCCCCTGCTCTCGGGGAAGTCACGTTCTCGTGGGAGGGACAGGCAGCAAGCCCCGGAGCAAGAGCAGGTACTGGGGGAGGGGGCCCAGGGATGCAGGTCCCCGGGGAGGATGTGCAGAGGGGGTGGCCAGGAACAGCTTCTCAGAGTGGGTGATGTTTAAAGTGACCCCTGAGGGACATGTGCCATGCTCTATTTTTATTTCATTTAATGTGTTAATTATCATATTTAATCCTCTCAACAACCCTGAGTAACATGTACTTTTATTATCGCCATTTACAGATAGGAAAACCAAGGCACAGAGAAGCTAAGCAACCTGCCCAAGGTCACACAGCTAGTAAGCAGCAGAGCTGAGATTCAAATCCAGGAGACATAGCTCCTAAGCTGTCACTCTTATCTGTGACACTGAAGCTGTTTGCCCTGTGGAGGACACAGAAGGAACGGGTGTGTGACCAAGTGGGAGGACAGTGTTTCCGGCGGCGAATGTGAGTGCTAAGGCACTAAGGCAGGAAAAGTTTTGCATATTCAAGGAACAGCAAGGAAGCCCATGTGGCTCAGGAAGAGAGGGTGAGGCACGAGGAGTGAGGAGTCATGGAAGGCCTGACCTTGGCCCTGTTAGGGAGCGAGCATTTAATCCTGAGGGTGATGGTCAGGCAGTGGAGGGTTTGCAGCAGGGGGCTACAGGAGTCAATCTATGTTTTTAAAAGGTCCCTGGGGCTGCCATGTGCAGAGTTACTGGAAAGGGACCAGGGACAAAGCGCGGAGCCCCCTTAGAAGATGGTCACATGACCCCAGATACAGACACCCAAGACTTGGATGTGGGTGAAGACAGCGGAGAGGCAGGGAAATGGGCAGGTGTGGGACTTGCCTGAAGACAGAGCTGAGCGGCCTTGCTGCGGGCGGACGGGGAGGAATCAGGCTGACGTCCGTATGTTTGGCCTGAGCAAGTGTCCCATGGTGGTGTCATTGACTGACAGGGGAATGGGGGGAAGAGAAGGGTGGGGGGGGAAGGGCCATTGTGGAGTCTCCTGGCTACCCATCAGACCCTCCCCCCACGGGAGCGAGGCCTGAAATGCTCAGATCAGAATTGTATTACGTGAGAGGAAAATTAATTTCTATCATTTTAAGACCACTGGAGTTCCTTTTAACAGCAGCTTAGTAACACTTGAATACAGAAATTGATACCAGGAATGGGAAGCTGCTGTGTATAAAAGCCCTAAAATGTGTGGCACTGGCTTGGCCAACAGGCGGGAGCGGTACTGATACAATATTGAAAGACGGAAAGCCGGCAGTGCTTGTTACGCTGCAACAATACAGTTACTAAAAACACTACCTGTGGGGCTGGCCCGGCGGCCGAGGGGTTAAGTTCACGCACTGTGCTTCGGGGGCCCAGGGTTTCACAGGTTCGGATCCTGGGCACAGACACGGCACCGCTCGTCAAGCCACGCTGAGGCGGCATCCCACATAGCACAACCAGAAGGACCTACAACTAGAATATACAGCTATGTACTGGGGGGCTTTGGGGAGAAGAAAAAAAAAACAGATTGGCAACAGATGTTAGCTCAGGGCCAATCTTTAAAAGAAAAGAAAGAAGGAAAAGGCAGCAATATTTTAAAAAATAAAATAATAAACATAAAAAACCATTACCGGGCCAGCCCGGTGGCACAGTGGTTAAGTGCGCACATTCCGCTTCGCGGCCTGGGGTTTGCCAGTTCGGATCCCAGGTGCTGACATGGCACCGCTTGGCACGCCATGCTGTGGTAGGCGTCCCACATTAAAGTAGAGGAAGATGGGCACAGATGTTAGCACAGGGCCAGTCTTCCTCAGCAAAAAGAGGAGAATTGGCAGCAGTTAGCTCAGGGCCGATCTTCCTCAAAAAAACCCCAAAAAACCACTACCTGTGATAATTTGGAAGACAGACCACATGCCTACTGAGCCTAAAATTCTAGAGAAATGGTTGGAAAGAGGCAAAAACATTTGCATATGTTGGCTGCTCAGTGCTGCTTTTAGCAACATATTCAAGAGACTGTCTAGTTTGCAAGAAGAGATGGACAGAAGAACAGAGAGTCCAGCAAACTGCTGTCCCAGGGCTGGAAAAAGCAACGGGTTTCATCCCAAGAGCAGATCAGACGGTCTGATGGTGGCTCAGAGCCTTTCTCAAAGCCCGTCTATCAGGTCAGACATTCAGCCAAACAAAGGATCACCCCTGTGGCAAAGTATCACATGGGGGGTGTTGCCTTGTTCCAAGTCTGTCACTTCAGATGCCCTCAGGGGAACTTTCATTTAAAGTGAGAGAGAACGAGATGGGCTGGGCAAGAACTCCAGCAAGAAAGGAACTGTGGGGTGTGGCTACTGGCACATGAAACGGACCAGCAGCAGACAGACCTGAGGCCTACTGAGTCTTTGAAGGAAGTGTTATTACCAACAACTTCACAAGGCTGGACTTCGAGAGCCCATGATTGTTCCAGCCCAAATAAGTGCCCAAAGGAACCCTGTTGGTGGCTGTGGAGGCTGAGGGACAAGGAGGGACTTCTCAAAGGGCAGAGCCAGGGGCCTGTGGGGTGAGAGGGGTGCCCCTGTGGAGGAGAGCCTCCTCGACCCCCAGGGCAAGGAAGCCCCCTCCCCGCCCCGTTCTAGAGGGTGGACTGTGCTGCAGACGGCAGCTGGCCATTTCCCAGCTTCCCTTGCAGCTAGGTGGGGCTGTATGTCTGAACTCTCGTCCGGGGCATGTGAGCAGAGGGGTGGGTTCAACTTCTGCCTCACCTGCTTAAGAGGAAATTTCTGCTCTAGACCTCCATGTTGTCCCCTCACGTTGGCTGGGAGAGTGACAACAAGAAGGAATCTGGAAGCTTCGCGGTAAAGAGAGCAGGGACGTCATTAGTCCAGGTTCTAAATGACCCTGTGGAGCCGAGCCATGTACCAACCTGAAATGTTTCCCTGGGAATGATTACATGAGCAGGTAATCAACTGAATATTTCTAAACCACTCTAATTTCTGGTCTCTGCTGTATCAACTTAGCGTTGTCCTGATGGAGAAAACCGTTAGACATTCACATGGAGAGGTCAAGCAGGACGTGGGAACTGAGGGAGGTGAGGATGCAGGTGGCAGTTTGGGAGTTATCAGGGGATAGACAGGGAGTGGGAGAAAGCCCACCTTCCAGACAGAAGAGGGCCGGGACCAGCCACCAGTGGGAGGACGACGAGCCGGTCACGGACACAGAGAAGCAGCATCCAACAGGGTAAGAGAGAAACCAGGGGAACACATCAGAATCCAAGAGAAGGATGTTTCTAGAAGGAGGGAGACCATTGGAATGGGAGTCCAGAGGCAAGCCCTAGCCTGGCTCTGCCTGAACAGACTGTGTGGCCTGAGGCAAGCCACTTGTCTCTCCAGAGCAGAGGTCTCGGCTCAGTGCTGTGCCCCCAGAGCGGCCTTCCCTGCCGCCCTGTTCAGGGTTGCCCTCGGTACCCCAGCCTGTTTCCCTCCGGGCACACTGACCGCTGTCTAAACGGCCTTCTCCGTTCTTTGTTCCCATGAGTGTTGTCTGCCTTGCCGCTGGACGGTCAGTCTCGGCCACTGCCTTTCCGCAGCAGCCAGGCCAGTGCTGACGCCCAGCGGGGGCTCAGGCTCCTGTGGAGGGGACCGCCACTCTGTTCCCTCTCTCCCCGAGTCCCGCTCCCAGGGCTCCTGGCCACCCCCTCTCCACCAGGGCTGCCTTTCCAACACACACAGTTCCTCGGACCCCAAACTCCTCGGACGGGGACTGGGGTATCCGGGGTCACCCTCTTGGCTTCCTGGACGGAGGCCCCCCGACCCCGGCCCAGGGAGGTGACAGGAGGAAAGGAGGCCTGTGCTTCACAGCAATGTCCCAAGTTAGTGATGAGATCAGCCCCGGGCCCTCTGCTCCGCCTGGAAGTCTGGCCTGGGGCCCTGCTCACAGGGGCCTCAAGGGGAGGCGGGGGCGGAGGGATGGACACCTCCTCTCAGGGACGGGATCTGAGCTCCTGTCTGCCTAGAGACTCCATCCCACTGCTGACCCTCCCCATCCACGCTCCTTCCCCCTCAGGACGCCTCCAGGGCCAGCCCTAGCCCTGGCTGGCCTTTTCCCACATTCTGCACCCTCTCTGACCCGCGGGAGTCAGCCAAAGGCCACAGTCCGGTTAGGAGGCCACAGACCTAACCCCACTCGGCCACGGGTTCAGCCTGTGACCTTGGCAGGTCACACTCTCTGAGACTCAGTTTCTGCGCCTCAACAGTGTAAATAATGCCCCTGGGAGTCCACGATTACCGTATGGAAAGCACCTAGTGCGGGGCCCAGCGTGTCAGGAAAGGTGCCAGGACGCTCCCGCTCCGAGGGCATGCGGGGTCTGGGCGGCTAATCCCTCTGCCCGGCTCACGGTGTAAAAGAGGAAGCAGACAGGGCAATGCTAAGTAACGCTCCAGGCGTACAATTCCAGCTGAAACGCTGTGGGGTGGTAGGGCCAGTGCCCAATGGGGGTCCTGGGGGGCTTTGGGGGACAGCAGCCTCTTCCATCAGACACCCCTACTCACATCTACCTTCCTCCAAAAACCAAAGGGCCGAGGTCTTCCCCTCTGTAGGGTGCACGGGTGAGGGAGCCAGTGAGGACTGCTGGGTGCTGGAGGGGTGGGGGTGGGCAGATCTGGGGGGATGGGCACTGGGGGCCTGCCTGGGCCTCGGGCCTGGTTCCTGTTGCCCTCTGGGGCTTGCTGGGCCTTGCTGAGTGTGTGGGTCAATGTCAGCAGAGTTGCCTCCCCTGGTCACCCTGGGGCCGAAGGTGGCCATTAGAGGGGCTGCAGGACGGTCCCTCTTCTCAGCACATGCTCCACCTCCGTCATCCTCCTGGCACCCCTCGAGGGGAGCCTGCCATCACCCCATTTCTCAGATGAGGACTCAGGTGCTTGTAGCTGACCAGGGCACCTATGTGCTAAGTGCTGAAGCCGGTACTCAAAGCCGGTCTGCCTGACTCAGAAATCAGTGCTCATCACTTGTACCGCCTCATTGCCATCCCTCTGATGTGATGGGAACAGCCTGGACCAGAAGTCTCAGTTCCATCATCCACTCCGTGGCCTTGCACCCACTGCTTCCCATCGCTGAGCCTCGGTTTCCCCATCTGTGAGGGAAGCAGGCTAGACTCTAGTTTCCTGGGTGCCCCCCAGCTCTTACATTCTAGAATCCTCGGGAGGCTGCGGGCGGGGATGAGGGGACCCATTCACAGGAGGGAGATGCTTCCTCCTGGGCCAGTGGCGAGCAGCCCGGCTGCGGGGGAAGGCTCTCCTCCGTGAAGGGGCTGCTGGGGAGCAGATGGGGCAGGAAGATGGCAGCAGCCTGGGAGGGGCTTCTGCCTCCTCCCCATCCCCACCCACACTTTGGCTTTTGGGCAGAGCCAGAGTTTAAAAAAAGCAACCACCAGATCTTCAGCTATTAGCAGGGCCTTGTTTCCAAGGGAGCCTGCGGTACCCTGGCCCAGGCCAGGTGGGAGCCGGGATGTGGAATCTGTCCTGGGAGGCAGAGAGGTAGGGAGCCGCGGAGGCTGCACAGCAAGGCGGGAAGAACCAGGTGGGGGCAGCTCTGTTCACAGGCCCTCCTTGCTTCCTGGGGGCGGGGGACAAGAGAGTCAGGCCCCTTCCTGTGGCCGCTCTGCTGCCCAGGCACAGAGCTACTGCCAGCCAGCAGCCATGGTCAGCTGGCGGTCCCCCACCCTCACCCAGAAGTCTCCCTGGAGTGGACCTCAGGCCTCCAACCACTGAATGATGTGATGGTTATTCCAGATGTTGCTGTTTGGATCAATCTGCACTTTGGGTGTATTTGGCCCAGCCACGGGGTGTGTGTGTGTGTGTGTGTGTATTCAGGTGGGGGGTGGCGACTGCAAATGTGAATGTGGCATAAGGGGTAGGGAGGGGTCAGCAACAAACAGTGTCTGTGGCAGGGGAGTGACGGGGCCTTTCCCGGTGGTACTGCCTCCTGGCCCCACCCTGCCTCCCACTGGTACCCACTCTACCCCCCAGGGAGCCCTCCACACAAAGCCTGTGACTTCAGCATCCTCTTAACTGCTTCTGCCGCACTCAGAATTAGCACTTCATCTGTACGACTGTGAGCATAAAAGTGTTTTGATAATTTTGCTGGAGGGTTGCCATGACGATCCCCAGCAAGCTCCAAGAGGAGGTGTCAGTGTGTGCACGGGAGGGAGGGAGAGAGACAGAGAGGACGGGAGTCTGAGAGACACAGAGAGAGGAGGGGACAGGGTCCAGGGAGGCCCAGTGATACCCCCAGTCAGAGCTTCGGCCTCCAGTGCCCCCGCTCCTCACCCCGGGGCCCCATTCCTGCCTGATGAGCTCAGTGTCTAATCTGGGCCGCACTGTACGCAGGGCAATGGGACACCAGCTGCTGGCGGGCAGGCTGCTGAGGCTGGCACGGCAGGGCTGGGCCCACCAGGGGAGGCACCCTGAGTCCCAGGATGAGCCCCAGGGCACACCAGGCTGGAGAGGGGGCAGGGGGAAACCTCGCAAGAACCCTGCCCAGCCTGCGGGCCTGGCTATGCTGCAGAGGGTAATGGGAGCGCATTTTCCTGCCAAGGACCTGCTTCCTGGCACAGCTTTGGCCGCCCAGGGTCTGTGGCTCTGTCCTTCCTGCGTGCTTTCTTGCAGGCCTGAGTGTCCCTCCCCTGGGGCCACCGGTCTGAAAATCACTACATGCATAAGGATGAAATCCTGCACAATCTGGGGCCCTCAAGCTTTGCAAAGCAGATTCCCCTCTGTCACCTTAGCAAAGCAGGGATATCTTTACTGTTTTTTGAGATGAGGACAGAGAGGCCCAGAGAGGGGAGGGAACTAGACAAAGGTCACACAGCCAGCAGCAAGGCAGCAGCAGAGTGAGGCTACAACCGAGTCCTGGACTTTGTCTCAGCCTCGCTGCCCTCTGGGAGGACAGGTTCTCCGGAATGGGTCCATGTGGCACTACCCCCTCACATATGCAGAGGGAAACAGAGGCCCAGAGACATCCCCCAGCCAGTAAGCATAAAGCCAGGGCTCACAGCCTCAGATCCTGAGAAGTTCCACTGCTTCTACTGAACCACGAGCCAGCCCACGTGTTCCCCAGAGCAAGCCCCAGGGACGGACCTTGGTTCCAAGGTTGAAGGGCCAGCCTCTGCCCTGGAAGGAGAGTCTTCTGGTTACTGAAGCAGAGCAGAGGGCAGCGGGAGCTGGCCAGGAACACACAAGCAAGGGGGTTAGAGGTTTGCACGGAAAGGGTCAGGTCCCAGCGCATAAAGCAGCCTCGCAAGGCGTCCCCTAGCCCCTGCTCCTGGAGCTGTGTGGCCCTGAGCGCGTCACTTAGCTCTCAGAGCCCCGGTCTCTGCAGCTATCGAGCGCCAGGGTGCCCAGGAGCCCTCAGGGGAAGTGCCGTCCAAGTTCCAGGAAGCAGCTGCCTCGGGCCCCCACGGCAGAGGTCCCCTCGTGCCTGTCCCCAGCTTCCAACTATTTCCCATCATGGTGGAGGCGCCAAAAAGAAAGTGCTGCGGGCTCCGAAGACGGCATGCCAAGATGACTCTCACGCCGCCTCGTTAATGGTAACAGCGCGAGAATAAGCCAACAGCATCTCAAGACTGCCTGCTTGGAGGCCTGGTTCTGGTGTTTGCTAGAAAGCTCTTGCCACGACCTGTGATTGTAGAGCCTCGTGCCTGCCCCATCCTCCTCCCAGCGCCGTGGTTATGAGGATCAAAACAGATGACTCACGAGAACACAGTGGGGTGAAACCTGCCCTGTAGGAGGGGAATTTAATACATTCCAAGAAATTAGGGTCAAAAAGATGCCCTGTCATGTAATGTTCTGAGCGTGGCCTCGAGACAGGACACACCATCAGCCTTGTAAACAGCTGCCGGCCCGCTTCTGGGGCCCAGAGAGTCCCTTCCCCCAGACCCTGGCTGTCCTCCCCTCGGACAGCCCCAGGCGGCCCAGTGGACTCGGGGCACCTGTCGCGCCCAGTCTCCGCATATTTGGACATGGTGGGGGGGGTTACTCCCGGGGCACCCAGCTTGATGTTGCCCTGCCTGTCACTGGCCCATGGAAGGCATCTCTTCCTTCTTCCTTCAAGGTGGCAAAAGACACCATCCCTCCAGCCGTTCCCTCCCAGGGACCCACAAGGGCATGGGGTTTAAAGGAATGCATTTTCCTGAGCATCCACCTCGTTCCAGGCACCAGCACAAGGCACTTTGCACCTTTCATCGCACCCTTAAGTTTGTCCTCCCACACGGGTATGATTATCTCCAAGCTTTAGTTGAGGCCACAGGCTCAGAGATGTTAAGAAGCTTTCCCAAAGCCACACAGCCAGGCAGAGATGGAGCTGGGGTTTGAACCCATGTCCATCAGTTGCCAAAGCTCTTCTCATCCATCAGCAGCTCCCACGATGGTGACTCCTGGACCTTCCCAGGGAGGGGTTCAGTGGGAGGAGGAACAAGGGAAAGAGGGCTGGGCCTGGGGAAGAGTCTGGAATTCTAACTGGGAGCCAGGCTCCACTTCCCAACAACTTTTCCAGAGAGAAGACTGGCGTCCTCTGGCCCAAACAGTAGAGTCGGGGTGGGGTGGGGAGGGGAGCGTAGATGACATTCCAACCCCCCCTCCTTTCCCATGGTGATGGCAGGAGAAGGCACGGGGGCCCTCCCCACTCACAGATGCCCCAGCCTGCCGGTGGAGGAGCCAGGACCCCACTGGGTGACCTGGAGTGGGAGGGTGCTGCAGCAGCGCATGCCAGCAAGGGGGCCTCTGGACCACGCCTTCTACCTTCCGCCAGGAGTCTCAGGCATCTGAGACTGGAAACCACCATTTGCAGATACAAAGAAGAAAACCACAAAGGCTCGGCTGTTGGGGCTGGTGAGGCCAGAGGAAATGGAACAGAGCTGTGGGCTGCCCGAGGAGGAAGGGACCTTCCAGACGAGCTGGGTGAGTGTTTTCAGACCATGGGGCGTGACTCGTTAGTGGGCCATACAATTTGTCAGGGGGCCATGACCAGCATTTTTTTAAGGATACACCACAGAACTGAAAACATCAGAGTGAACACATGGGATAAAGCTTTAGTTAAGTGGGTATGTGCAAACTTTTTCTTACCATGGGTTGTGGTCAAAAAAGCTACAAAAAATATGAAGTCGGTTCCACTCCCATTTTCTGCAGATGAGAAACCTGGGGCCACGGGCAGGAAAATGCTTGGCCCAGCGGCCAGGGACAAGACAAGAAGGTGGCCAGGTGCCCGGTGCCCTAGCATGTGCAGGCCGGCTTCCAGAGGCCCGATTTCGTGCTGGTCTGTTAACCTTCGACACCATCAGCCTCGCCAGCTCTTATCCGTGCTGCTCCCAGGCTAGAATGGGAAGAATCCAGCACTTCATGGGCGCGGGGCGACGGGTCCGGGACAAAACCTCCTCAGGTCCTCCTTCCTCTCGCTGCTCTCTCTCTGGCTCTTTGCCTCCTCCCAGCCCCCGCTGCGGGAACACCCCAGGATGAGGTCCTTCTCCACACTCCCTCCCATCTGCCTCCACGATGGCCTCTGGGCAGGCGCCTTCCCAGTCTCTCTTGCCCATGCCAGGCCCTCTCCCCCAAGTCCTTGTCCTAGACCCATCTACACAGCAGTCGCTCCATCGCTCCAGCGCAGCGAGATCCGCCCGGGCGAGCCCCGCCCCACCCGGCCCAGGTGAGGACTCCCCTTCACGTCTCCGCACCATTTGATCACAAGTGCTCCCGGACTGAGACGGCCGTGAGCTGTCCCACTCAATCTCACAACAACCCTGTTTCCAGCGGGGGGAACTTAGGCTTGGCAACCTGCCGAAGGCCATGCAGCAGTATGTGGAGGAGCTGGCTTGCCAACCAGGTCAAGTAGATATTTCAACCGGGTCAAGACTGACGCCCCGGCACTACCCTGCCTGGCTGGTGGCTGGCAGCCCTTCCTCCAGAGCATCCTGGACTGGGGGACAGGGAACCCTTCCTGCCGCTCTCAGACCTGCCTGCCCGCAGCAGCGATGCGTGCTGCTCAGCTCCTGGGAGGGAGGGGCCATGGGGAAGGGCCAGCAGCCGCCTGCTGGAGGCTGGCCTGGAAGGCCCACCTCCTGCACTCCCCGCTTGCACGCTCAGTGGGGCTGGCAGCCATTCTCCTGGCAGCGGATAGGGACAGAGCCTGCCATGCTGTTTCCCTGAACAGGGCGCCCCCAGGCCTAGACCTGGAGAGGGAGTGAGCGTCAAGGAGCACGCCTGTGGTCACGGACACGAGCCAAGGTCGCCCAGCCAGCCTTGGCAGCAAGAACACTGATATTCTGAGCTCACAGCGGAGTCCTGCATCTGCTTTTCTTTTGCTTCAGTGCTCAAGGCAAGAAGGGGTGTTACCGACACCAGGAAACCCAAGAGCTTTTCTCCTCGCCTCTCCCAAGGCACCCACCAGGCCACATACACAGATCTCTCTGCTTGGGCTCCTGACGTGCTTTCGCACGGGTCTTCCCACCTCTACTGCCATCCCCTCGCTCCCTCCTGGTCAATACGCTTTCCTGAAAATCACCGTCCCAGCCCTCGGTGGCTCCCCCACCAGAGCCCTCTGCCTGAGGCGGCCCCCGGCCCCGATCTGGGCCCCTCTTCCTCTCTCACCGCCTCTCCTCCAGCTCAGCATTCCCTCCACAAGCCCTGGACACAGACACCCAGGACACGCACTGCTCACGAGCCTTTGGGCTGTCACTGCAGGGCCCTCTTCCCCCTTCTCCAGGTGCCTCCTCCACCATGCAGCCTTCCCTGACCACCACCCCCAATCACACCTCATGTTCCTCCAACTCCAGTCACACTCATTGTCAGGACCCCTGTCTCCCGTTCACCTTGTGACTGAGGTTCTTCAAGTGTGTGTCTTGTTTTCTCAACAAATTACACAAAATAGAACACGATGCTATACTGGCTGAGACGTTCTGAGTGTCTGCTCACCCTGCAGGGTGCGGGACAGGTTCTCCCTCAGGATGAGAAGCTTCAGAGAAGACTGAGCGAGGGGCCTGGCCTATGACGGCTGCTCGAAGCACCGTGTGCATTTCTTACATCTGCTCAGATGCCGCTGGTAGGAGGACAGGTTGGCACAACCCTTCTGGAAAGCCATTTCCACGATGTATTGAAAGCCTTAAAATCATGCATAGCCTTCAGAGTCTGGGCCATAGACCCCACTTCTAGGCATTCACTCGAGGAAACAGTCATAGATGTGCACAGAGGTTAGCCACGGCATGGCTGCACAGGCGGAGGGGCTGTGCATCTGTTTTTCAATTGTAAAATGGGCTTGAAAATAGTGCCTCGTCCACAGGCTCCTGTGACGACTGATAAATCACGAGTTAATATCACAAAACACTTACACAGGGCCTGCCCCCTACTCAGGCTCTATAAAACGTTACCTGTTCTTTTTATTTCTCTGAACTGAGGTCTGGAGGAGGCCCAGTTCTGGGCTCTGAGCTGCACCGCCCGCCTGCATCCCACCATCCGATCCGATTTCCAGAATCAACAGAACACATACTAAGAGCAAAACAAGCCCAACACCAACACTGCTCTAAAGATCCACACAAGGGGACTCGTTACAAAAGGATACAACTACACACAATACTATGCACCGCTCACAACCACGTCAGGGAACAATAATTAATGTCACCCAGCAATGTACGGAAGTGGGAGAAGGCTGATGATGAGTTCAGGATGAAGTTACTTCTTTTTTTTAAGTATAGAAAAAAATACATGGCAAAATGCAAAGAGTTGTCATCTCTGGTTGTAAAGTTACAAATGACTTTCTTTTTTCTTTTTATCTTTCTTTTTAATTTCTTGCAAAGAACACATCCTCCTTTTGTCGTTAGGAATAAAAACCAATTTGAGGAAAGAAAATAAAAGCCACGCTGGCTTACTGCTATCTGTAAGAGAAGGGCGGTGTCTCCCTTTTATATGTGCCCTACCGCATCTAGTACCTAATCTCTGCATATAAAAGCCCTGGTCTTGGACAGAATTCCAGCCTGGTAATCTCGTCTAATCTTCCAGGCCAGAGCGTACTGGACAGTTTAGAAATGGTCTGCAAGGACAAGGAAGCAACGTGACTGGCGAGGATGCGTGTGAGCCCAGCAACGACCCGCTCGCCTGGCGGGGAGACGTCAAGAACTGACTGGAGGGGGAAGAGGCGGTGCAGCAGGCCAGGGATGGTGCATTAGGGGACCAATTACCTGGGGAGCATGTGGTGAGGCTGCCGAGAGCGAGGTCAGCCTTGACGTGAGGCCACTTTGGCATCTGGGAGCTCCCTCAGCTTGGTCTACAGAACTTCCCAGGAGACGCTTGAGTGCAGCTGGATCTTAATGTGATCAGCCTCACTCGCGCACAATTTTCATTCCGGCCCTCCTCCCAAAAGCCTCTGGGCCTTCCCTCGGCGGCTGCGACAGAGGTGCGGGCACTGGGGGAGCCTGCCAAGAGGAAGGTCAGGGTCACAGGGCCATCCGTCAGCCACAGAGGGATCACCCACCCAGTATGAGGGTTAGGGTTGGGGTTAGCAGGCATATGGAGTGTTCCACTTAAAACAATTGCATCACTAAGCATGTTACTGTCAGGCACATGACATTCATGATCCCAACCCTCACAAGACCCAGGAGAGGCGGCTGCTCCCGTCCATTTCACAGCTGGGGAAACTGAGGCCCGAGGCTGACCAACTGGTCTGAGGTGACTCAGCTAGGAAGGGCAGAGTGGGATTCAGGTCCCAGTCTGCCTGACTCAGCAGACGCTCTGTCCAGGGCTCTGGCAGTAATTCTGACAGATGTGGAGCTGGGGCAGGGGTGGGGTGACATACCTGCTCCCTAATTCCGCCCCAACAGGCAGCACTGTGACTGTAGAAGGGGGCACAGACCCCCTTGCGGAGGTGAATCTGGGCCAGCCTCGCACGAAGCGGTCCAGCTCACTGCCCTCATCAGCTGGGGCAGAGCTGGCCTTGCACTGTTTGCGGCTGGAGGATGCTACCTTGAGCTGTGGCAGGGAGCCCTGCCATTTACTGAGCCGCTGGCTGGTGAGGCTTGGAGACCATCAATACCACTCCTCGGAGGGCTGCCCCATAGGCACTGCGACCTTCTGGGGCTGTCTGCACCTGGTTCCCTCTCGTCACCAGGTTCTACTTTGAGTTGGGGATCTCAGGGGGGGCACAGAACCTCAGCGTGGTGGAAGGAACACTGGCTCAGGCACGTGACCTGGGTCTTCATCCTGGTTCTGCCTCGGATGAGCACTTAACGCCTCTGGGCCTCAGTGTTCTCATCTGTGCAATGGGGACAGTAGTTCCTAACCTACAGCCTCGCAGGACTTTGGGAGACAAGGGAAGGCGTGCTCCCGAGTTCACTAGCTCTCTTCTCTGGCCCCCTCCTCCCAGACAGGGCAGGAGGATAATGGAGGAGGCAGACTGGGCCAGGGCGGGGACCCCCATTGACGTGGACCTCTAAGCCAGCTGTCTTCCTTTCCCTTTCACTGCAGGTGAACAGAAGCTAAAAGCCAACATTGGAGAGAGGGTGCAGAAGGAAATGGGTGGCTAATCTTTTGATGCATTTTCAAAGGCGACATTCCAGAAAGTTTCCTCTAACCAACAAGGGCAGGAAGGAGACACTTCTGTAGGGCTCCCCTCCTCTTCCTGACTCTCCCGAGTCCCCCTGGCCGGTCCCAGCAGTCTGAATATGCCTGGACCAGAGGCAGGGCCCGCCAGGGCATCCTTCATCCACCGGTCCCACAAACACTCTGTGGGCAGGTGGACGCGGCCCTCAAGCAGAGTCACCTTCGGAGGGTACGGATTCCCATCCTAGACAGTGCCCCCACGCCCACTCTCCAGGTGGAGGAGGAGGGCAGGAGGCGGCGCTCAGAGGCTCAGATTCTGCCGTCGGAGCGCCCCCCCACGGCAGCCTCTGGGAGGGCGAGGCAGCCCCTCCGTGCCCACCTCTAACTGCCGCAGGACCGGCTTCACCAGATCCAGCGCTGCGCTCGCCTTCTCGGCGGCCTGTGGATCATCGCAGGCGCTGGCGGCAGCGTTGTCACAGCGCGCCCGCCCACCCCTTCCTGCAGTGGGCGGCTAATTGCAGCCTGATCACGCGGCCCCCGCAGCCCCGCGCCGGGCGCCACTTCCTCCTGCCTCCCGCCCCTCGGGGAGAAGCTCCCAGGCTTCCGAGTCTCTGCCGGCTGCTTCCCCGTGAACAGCTGAGAAAGTGCAGTCCCTCCAGCCCCAGGAGACTCTGGCTGCGGCCGCCCCTCACCGCCTGGGGCCCAGGGACCCCACCAAATGCCTGCCAACAAGTAACCCCGCAGGGCTCCCAGCCCGCCTGGGACACTTGATCTTAGGATCGGATCAATCCTCCAGGTACCTCAATGTCCTCATCTGTTTAAAAAAACCAGCACCCACCTCACTGGGTTGCTTTGGGCAATAAATCAGATTATACATGTAATAGGCCCAAGAGAGTGAATGCCCTACCTCCTGGCTTTCACCTTCCCTTCCCCATCAGAGACCTAGAATTTGTGTCTGGAGTTACCAGCTTGTGGGCTCAGAGGCCAGGATCCTGCCTGAGCACGTCCACATGAGAACAGGGACTGTCCCTGGGTATCCAGGGAGTGTGACATCACCGTTAGGATGAGGGAGAGTGACAGCATAGAAATAATTATAACGGCAACGCTGTCCCACATAGCTTGGTCAGCTCCAAGTTGCCTCATTTGAAAAAAAAAGTCTTCTGGGCAGTATCTCTATTTACAGAGGGACTGCCTCATTTCTCCTGTTTTCCCACACCCCTCTGACACGGCCCCCCGAGCAGCTTCAAGAGTACAAACTAGCCCAGCCCCACAATGGCTCTGTTCACAGGCTGGGGAAAGCTTTCTTTTTTAGGAAGATTAGCCCTGAGCTAACATCTGCTGCCAGTCCTCCTGTTTTTGCTGAGGAAGACTGGGCCTGAGCTAACATCCGTGCCCATCTTCCTCTACTTTATATGTGGGACGCCTGCCACAGCATGGCTTGCCAAGCAGTGCCATGTCCGCACCCGGGCTCTGGACCAGTGAACCCCGGGCCGCTGAAGTGGAACGTGTGAACTTAACCACTGTGCCACCGGCCCGCCCCTGGGAAAGGCTTTTATAATTCGGTGCAGCAGTACCAAACCAGCTGGAAAAGGCACCCATAGTCCGTGCTCCACGCTAATAAATAAACATCAACACCATTTCCCTGTTGACCCCAGACACAGGAGGCCTCATATCTGAGAATGGATCCCAGCAGCACACAACAGACAGGGTCTCCTGTGGAGGGTCCTTCCAAAGAGAAAATAGGAGAGGGGAGGGGGCAGCTGTAGGCTGGGTCCTCGGAGGAGAGCATGAGGGTGGCACCATGTGCAAGAGGTAAACAAGCAGCATGCAGCACTATGGGAACGCGTGGCTTTCTCAAAGGCGGCGCTAATAAAGCAATTGGGACTTCAGATTCAACACTACATGTGTTTATGACCAGAAAAGGCAAAGTGGGTCTCAGATATTCTGCAGCCAAGTGAAAGCAGCCAGAACTCCAAGAACTATTCCCCGCAGGGCAGGGCCCGGCATGTGTCAAGGCTTTCTCTGAAGCCCTCCAGCTGGAGCGTGCTGCTCTCGCAGCGCCCACTCAACTCTTCTGGGGTTGTCAAGACACAATGCCACTTACTGACCAGGTCCACGGACCTGCCACCCCCCAGGGAAGGGTCATATCAGGCATGAAGGCAGCAGGGAGGGAGTGCCTCACGGCAACGGCACGTACAGGAGCTGGGACCCAAACTTATTAGGAGTCATCGATGCCACCAGGGTTAGTGGTTCAGTTGAGGACAATGTGGACCCTGATTTCGATCCTGGGGACACAATCGATGCAAGGGATCACACTGTTCCGACTCGTGCTTTCAGGCCTGTTGCTGTTGTCAGGACATTCTTCGTGTGCAGCCTGCCCTGTTTCTTGGGGCTGCTGAGTGGAGTCGTGGTGTCGGCAAGTACAGTGCAGCCTGATGCGGAGTCTGGGCATCATTCAGTCCCCAGATGTCCTCACACGTAAGAGGGGAGGGGCCGCCGTCTGCCTCTGGACGCCTGCTTGCATATGGTCAGGAATGCTGTTCTCGGCTGCTTGCCGGGAAGGTTGGATGAGAATCTGTCCCCCAAAATGAGCTTCCCCAGTAAAAACGGCCAATTACTAGTCCAGTTGGCAGCAGTTTCTGACGGGGAGATGCTAATGTTGATTAAGGAGAGAGGGGGCGTCGGTGCCCGCCCTGATGCACAGGAAAGCCGGGGAACAAACCAGGCAGCGTGGGAGTCAGCGCTGCCGGAGCACCGGGGTGAGCTGGGTGGCCAGCTCTGCAGGAGCAAGCCGGAGGCTCAGGGTCCTGGGGAAGCCCAGTAGGCTATTCCGCCTAAATTCAGCACGAGCGAGGAAAAAGCACACCATTTAGGGATTAGCCTGTGGTTTGAATTCTGCTTCTGGCGCTTAACTCCTGTCCTCCTGGAAACCTCCTGCCCGGTCTCCACAACCGGAACAGTCTCTCCTTCTTGGAAGGCTGCAGGGAGATGAGCGACTATGCAGAAAGAGCTCCCAGCACAGCGCCTGGCAGGTTATTCCAGCTCAAACAAAGGGCAGCTACAACACGAAACCTGTTTTTCTTTGCACTACAGCGCTTAGAGTCGCTTCTTCCGCTTTGTAAGTAATGTTGGCAAAAATAGCCTCACTCCTCATTCCTAATTAAGAGCTATGGCCAGGAGAACACAGCAACAGGCTGTGTGGTCCCTGAGCATGGCTGTCCTTCACCAGGGCCTGGAACGCCTGTCCAGTCCTAAACCCTGCACTTTCACCCCGTGGCAAGTACTTACTCGACACTTCAGAAGGGACATTATCTTAGTGATGACAGTTGTGCTATTTGACAGCAAGAAACAAAACCTAAGCCTGCGGCGCTCAGATGCAGAAAGCCAGGTGGTGGCCCGAGCAGTGTGCTGCAGGGCAGGGACCCGCGTCCCTGACAGCCGCGGCCGCCATGAACAAGAGGATCACGGCGGCGGCCAACGTTGGGGGAGACGTGACCCAGCCTCAGGAGGGATGTGGCAAGACCGCAGCCATCTGCCCATTCTCTCCTCCGTGGGAATGCAAGAGGAATTTCCCAATGCCGTCCATCAAACTCATAACCAAAACTGGCTGTACCCCCCGCCCCGGCTGGGTCGTGTTTGTTTTAATAGGGGAAAAGCTCAGAATTAGATAGAGGTTTTATTTTTATGGTGATTCGTATCTTCCTCACAGAAAGGCTTAGTACGATGCTCAGATTTCACGAAGCATTTAGTACTCTTAGAGAAAGGAGCTATACACATGCAACACTGGAAAACAAGAAAAGGACTCCAACACAAGAAGCCAGACGGCTCGTCGGAGGCCACAGCGAGCCAGGCACGGCGTTCCGAGTTCTGGGGAAGAGTCTGCCCAGCCTGTGGCCCTTGACCGCAATCCTGGGGATCATCAATCTTCCAGCACAGAATGGAAACAAGATCAAAAGCAAGAAGGCTGTGTAAGCTTTCCCCACAGGCAGCGAGGGAGAGGCTAACTCTCCTGCCTTGTTTTCATCCATTTCAATCCATTTCCTTTCTTTCTCTCGGGTTTTCCAGGTCTTGGTTTGGAAGTAATCTGGCACACTGCTCCCAAGGCAGGAGGTCAAGAAGATGCGGGCTTTTATGATGCAATAAGGGGCAGCCCCTCTGTTGTTTTGGGAACCCGGGTGACATCATGGACTGACCCCTGAATCTCGGGATCTTGTGTCTAAGAGAACATTGAGTCGGAAGAAAGCCTTAGTCATCGGCTACTGAAGGCTAAAGCGAACACAGCTATTAGGTAACTGAGCCTCTTCCCCGCAGGCCCGCTCCTGCTCCTGTCTGGCCCGGGCTGCAATGCCTCCAGTAACTCTCCAGGGGAAACTATCCATGTGCGACAGCTGTGGCGAGCGGGGCAGCTGCTGCTCTTCAACCTCAAGTTCTCATGACCTCACTCCATTAGTCCTCCCTGTGAGAGGACAGCTTCCTCTTGTGTTACAAGGAGTCCAGGTGGCTGCCTGAAGCTGGCTGGGCCAGAGAAGGCTGCCTTCGCTCTTTACGCCAAGGCCTGTAACCTGTCTGAGTGTGTCTGTCCTGGGCAGACAGACAGGCAGGAGACGCAGTTCAAAAAAGTGCTCCCAGAATCCGCAGCTTCCCATGACGACGGCGCACAGGCCGAGAAGTCAAGGAGCCGAGGCAGCCTTCCACAAGGCTCTGGGAAACCACCTCTGTTTGGGCTTCAGCAGCTGTCTGCCTACGGAAGGCTCCAGAGCTGCTGACGCATATTTATATCTCCACTGCGCTAAAGTCACAAGGAACAAACACACGCGGATTTGCCCCGGAGGCAAAGTCCATTCATATTTCTCCAAATGAAGCGGGGGAGGGCGGGGGAACACTGCTCACGGACACAATCATCTGTGAGCACAGCCACAGCAGTTTTTAATTTGCCTATAGAAAATATGTGACTTCAAGATATGATTAGGGATTACTGCTCCCACAGTAAAGATAGCAGGACATGAACTGCTGGCTCTCACTTAACAGGACTCCAAGCTGGGGAGCAAGTCCCATCCTCATCTTCCAAACAGCCACAGCACAGGATCAGCTGAGCCAGCCCCTGGAAGCTTCTTCACGGTGGGAGGTCTGCTCCATCTCACGTGGCTTCTCGCAGAGACCTCCCATCAGCGTGCCCTCTCGGGTCTGGATACACGGTCCGAAACGTCAGGTTGATTCTGGGCTCTCTTGAGTGGTACTCTTTGGGCACTCGATGCTAAAGGGAAATATACATAACTCGGACACAAACACACATACTTCACTTCAAGGCCATTTAACACTTATTTATGAGGACACAGGCAGATTTTGATTTTATCCCCCCTTTAATGAGCAGCAACAAGCCCTTTAAAGTCCTGTGGAGAAAGGTCTCCTTCTCTGAAACGAGCCCACACCCACCCTCACGACAACACACCATCCCCCTGGCAGAGAGAGTTTCACCGGTTCTCACTGCTGCTTTTCCTCTCTGCTTCCGGCCTTTTTTCCAAATCTCATAGGAAAACACATACATGGCTGAGACCAAAGAGAGTATGAGATTCCACTTGCATGTTAGGTGTTCTTACATTAATTTTCATACCTTAAAAATGAGCTGGCTTTACAACGGCCTGGCCTACGCTGTGGAGCTGTGCGACCCAATAGGCCAGCCACTGGCCACCTGACGCTACTTAAATCAATTGAAAATTCAGTTCTTCAGCACACCAGCCACATCTCCAGAGACCGCAGTCGGATGTGTCTAGTGGCTACTACACTGGGCTGCATGGATAAAACCATTTCCCTCATCACAGAAAGTGCTATCAGACACGCTGCTGCAGAGGGACATTCCGATTGGCAGTAGCACTGAAACTCTCTGGAAATGTCGTCACTTTATCGCTTCCTGTTCATTAGAAAAGCAAGTTGCTTTTCACCACGTTTACTAGAGAAATGAACATCGTAAGCCAGTCAGGACACCATACCCCGATGAGAGTGAACCCACGTGACATGCACACCCTCACCTGCCAGTCAGCTTGGGTGGCTCCTTCCATGATCAACAGGGTCCCATGATCCAAGGGGATCTTCACTCTCTCCACATACGTGTAGTCTCCGTTCTCCTCCTGGAAAACAGCGTTCATTGCACTGAACTTTTTGCTTGTGTGATCAAGACACAACAGAAGGTGACACAGGTCAGAGAGATGCAAACCTCTACTCAGCCAGACGGCAGGGGTTCTTCCCTGGCTCTGCATGGGCTGCTGTGTGGCCTTAGGCAAGGTGTTTCACCTCTCTGTACCTTAATTTACTGATCTGTAAAGTGGGGATGAGGAGAGTACCTGCCACACAGGGCTGTGCTGAGCCTCAAGTGAAACAGTACGTGTAAGTCACTTGGAGACCGGCACATACTAAGTCTGGTATGAGTGCCAGCTATTATTACTAATATTGTCAGCAGCCGAAACGCAGAGAAATGCAGGCCCATTCTGGCCTACGAAGGAATTAAAAGTCATTTTTACAAGAACTCTTCACATCTGCCTTATGCTGTGACATAGTCAGTGTGGGAAAATGGGCTTTTAAACAAGAGACGGTGTGCTGAGTTCTGATCACCTTGTCATAATCTGTGCTAATCCACTAATCGGTACCTACGTTAAAACTGGTCATGACTCCGCCTATAGGTACTTTGGTATTTTGGAGATATATTCTTGTTTCTTTCCAGAACAGTCAACAGCAAGATTTTCTCAAAGAAGGGAGCCCTGGCTTGACCAGGACAGTGTTGCCAAGCTGAGACTGCCTGTGTAAACCTTTGAGAATGGGTTGCAACTCCTGAACACTTGGGATACAAAGGCCTGGCATTTACAGCACCCTTTCGTCCCGAGAGCTGTCAACTCATGTCCGATGCTGTATGAGGCTTCACAGCACGGCCTGCAAAAGAGCAACAGGTGGTGTCACTCCTTCACAGCTGACAAAGAGGTGCATCAGACAGCTCCCTGCTCACAGCAGCAAAGAGCACGTCGGGAGTGGAGACCAGGACAGCCTGAGCTTCCTCACTTCTTCACCTCCATTCTGGGCAGATCCATCTAGTCATCTGCTTCGATTCCAACGCACGGGCTTACATCCGGGTTACTGCAGGACTGCCTGCACTGAAGCACTGTGTTTATGTTTATTCTTGTAGGGATGCCTCTGAGAACGCAACTGTTTACAATGATTTCCCCCAGGAAAATCACAATCAAAACATAACGAACTTGCATAAACATCTAAGTTGCAGGCCCCAACTCTTGGCAGGGACTTCATCAAGCACAGTCACAACCTTTACAGGCAGAAGAGAGAAGCAATGTTTGAAGGAACTTTTGGTTTCAGTGATTGAGTTTAATGGTCTGCCACCTTTTCTCTTCCAGGCGTAAGTAAGCCCTGAAGCATTTACCTCTGAGCCCTCAGCCAACCAGAGAGCAGCGGGAAGGAGACCCTGCTCTCAGGTGACCCCATTCCATCTCAGAAAAGTAAAAGGTTGCTTTCTGAAATAAGCATTCCAGACAGAGGAGAGGGATATCCTACCGGAGAAAAGCTATCAGAAGGGAGGGCATCGTCCGTGAGATCGGAGGGCCCAAGGCTCCTGGATTGAGTGGTAAAGTCAGTTACCAGACAGAAGTTCAACAGACTTCCTCCACACAATCGGGGATGCCCTGGGCCTGACCCTATAAATCAAGCACAGACACAAGGACAGCAGCGTGAAATGAGGGAGAGAGGAAACACACTTCACCACAACATGAAGACGATCCTGGGTCGAGGACCTCACAGAACATTAAAAACATTACCGGGGAGGAGGGGGTGCTCAGGCCAATGGGAGAGAAGGGGTAAGCCCTGTAATTCTACCTGGGAACGTGAAGCTGGAGCAGATCCAGCCAGTGAAGGAGAATTCCAAATGCAGGAGGGAACTACCACCACGGATGCAAAGTGACGTTTGACAGATCCACACTTCCCATAACGTTCCTAAGAGCCGACGTTTTCAAATGGGAGAAACACTCAGGTTGGTTTCAAACATATTACATCCAATATAAACATCAGTGGTACCAAAAAGCAGAGAGGGTGAGCCTCCACGCAGAGGAAGCTGCTCTAATCAGTGCCCGCAGGAGCCTGCGGGGCACAGGGCACCCTCTGAGCCAGGTGATGTCATGACTCTGCTGGTGGCCATTTGTTCCTTCCTGCGCCCTTGGCTTGGAAAGGGTACTCCTGATTTGCAGGAGGCAGACAGGAGAGAGGGAAGGCCTCCTCCCCCGGCAGCACCGAGCTCACAAACGCTGCCTTCCTCCGCAGGCCGGAGTGCCCACAGCCGCAGAGCCGCCCCTGGACTCAAGCAGGATGCACTTTTTCCACCGAGGAAGCGGCAGAAGGCCAGAGGAGCTCACGTGGCGGAGCATAAGGCTCGAGCTGATGAACGGATAAGGCCAGTGGAAGCACAGGCCAGGCTGTTTGGGGGGGCGTTCACAGCCATCAAGCATGGCTGAGTTACCAAACACGTCTCCAACTCTTTTGGTTTACTCTGGTCTTTCTTCCAAACAAAACGAAACAAGAACACATCCCGACAGAAACCACAGCTTAGGATACAATTTCCCACCCCTGACCCCAGTTAAACAGCAGAGCTCAGGGCCACAGTCAGTCTATGGGGGGGGGGCGGTTGTTGTCGATGTTCTTGGTGTTCCACACACCTGAAACCTCTCAAGTAGAGAGAAAAAGCAAAAAATATACCTTTTTAAATGAATGCTGATCAACATTTCCATTCCCTCCCCAACCACAGCCAGTTCACCTGAATGCTTGAGTATGATTTCCAAGGCACGCCCGACCTTCCCGGAGCGCCCCAACTCACCTCCGCCTCCCCAGACAGCAGCCTATTCAGTTTCTTTCAGAAAAACGCTATTTAGGAATCAAATACGGGTGTATTTATTAAGTCATTACTAACCACCCAACAGACAGGAAATCTAAACATTTTTCTTCTCATTGGAAAGGTAACTTCACACTCTATGAGATCTATGTAGATTTTTCACTTAATCGTTCCTTTCTTATCCTAAAAAGGTGTCTTAGAAATTACAACCATTGATGCTTGAATATCATCACAGCGTACTTTTTCTTTCTACTATAAACGTAGACTAAGTTCGCTGGAGTAAATGACACCCCTGTAATTCCTTGTTCTCTGTCTGCCCTCCTGCTCTCTGATAAACTCCAGGAGGCAGGGACACTGTTGTCTTGCTCTTTAGAAATATGCTCAGTGCCTCTCACACATATCAATAAATGTGCGTGGGATGACTGAGGGAAAGCACCAAGAAAATATAAAGACCACCTTTAATCCTACAGAACTCAGACCACACACACACAGGGACTATTCTATCCATACAGTCGTGTACTCTACATGTTTAACGTTATATTGTGAGCTTTTTCTACATCTTAAAGATACATGTTAAAAATACGGTGATATAATATTCCTCTGTATCAACATTTCCTTCCTTCTCTAACTCAGATGTTCCCTGACCACCGCGCATGTCGGGCTCCGTGCCAGCGCTCAGGATGCAGCAGGGAGGCACACGCGGTTGGAGACTGAGTTTTTAATATACCAGTATTACTAAAAAAAAAAAAAAAAGAAAAAAGAAAAAGCTACTGCAAGTGGACCTTGGGCAAAACATTTCTGAGTAGGTTTCCAGGAAATATTCTTAAAAATGGAATTACTGGATCCAAGGGTATGAACTTTAAGGTTCCTTGATTTACACCAAGTCGCTTTCTTAAGACGGTTGTGGCAATTTATAATTCCATCAGGAAAATGCAACAGTACTGATCTTCTGGCTACATCACTAATACTGACCATTATCAATTGACAAGGATAAAAAAATTAGGGAGAAATGGCAACTCATTCTTCAAACGTAGAGTTCTTGAATGACGACCCCCATTCAACAGTTTTCACATGCCTGTGTGCTGTTGACATTTTTCTGCTGTGAACATGCCCTCTGTCCATTCTTCTACAGGGTGTTAGTGTTTTCCTTATTGATCTATAATGGTAGATAGTAAGATATTCTCCCTTTGTCTGTCATACTTTCTGCTAATATTTTTCTCACTTGGTATTTGCCTTTTCACTGCGTTTATGATATTTAACATAGAGTAGCTCAAAAATTTTTAGAGTCAACTCTACTGACCTTTCTTTGGCTCTCCTTCATGGTTTTTATGCTTAGAAAGTCTTTTCCCATCCTGAGAAAAGTTAAATATACAACTGCCTTTTAGTTAAAAAAACAAAAAGAGTCTACATATTTTAGATTTAACTCTTCAATCCAGCTGGAGTTGGCTTGCAGGCTTCTTTGTGTGTGTGTGTGTGTGTGTGTGTGTGAGGAAGACTGTGGCTGAGCTAACATCTATTTTACGTGGGACACCACCACAGTGTGGCCTGATGAGTACTACTGTCTGCGCCCAGGATATGAACCTGCGAACCCTGGGCCACCAAAGCAGAGCGTGAGAGCTTAACCACTACACGCCCGGGCCAGCCCCAAGGCTTCTTTTTATAACAATCTCCAGGTACCTAACCCGAGGCATTCTGTGGGCCTTTTTCGTTGCACTCACCATGAGGTCCGCTGCTCAGGGGCCAGGCATGTTCGGTACTGTACATACGGTACTGCTCGTTCTCACTACAGCGCTGCAAGGGAGCCCATACTTTCCATCTCATCCCAAGCAAGGGCAGATGGAGGGAAAGCACATTTCTAAGACAAAGGGCTGGCGGGAGGCAGGCAGGGCTAGCATTCGAACGCAGATCTGCCTGGCTCTAACGCCTGTATTCTTTCCACTGTACTGGGCTCTCCAAAGTGATCTCCATTCCTTCCGAAATCCTGTAGTATCTCCTGTCCTAATTATTTGGCACCCTGACTATACTGTAAGGATCACAGACACCAGCAAGTAGCATGAATGAGGGCCATGGGCTGGACGCAATGCAGCGGGGAGTGGGGGCCATGGAGACATGGAGAACACGGGGCCTGCAAACAGGCGGCAGCCACTCTGCAGCTCCAGCTCACTCTTCCCCCAGGATGCCTGATTGCCTGGCTGTTCCAGGGAAGCTGATAAATGGGATTTTGATGTAAAATCTCCTGAGTTATAAATT